TCCATTTCAAAAGAAAACCTAGACCGAGAAGAACCTCGAATCCATATCAAATAAGGTTAGTTATTCGTCATAAGAGACAAACCCCATATTTATATTTTTTGCACTTTTAAATATTTTTTGTCAATGACTTCAACGATTATATTATCATTCAGAATTTATTATACTATTAACTTTATCCTGAGATTGGCCATCTCACGGATTTAAATTCTCGCGGTCCACCGCGCAAACAAGGATACTCGCGGTCCACCGCGCAAACAAAGAACTCTCTAACATAAAACCTCCTCGAGACATTCTACTCCCTTTATTTTATATAGGTGACACCTGAGAACAGAAGAGTTTAAGAATCAGGGCAACACCACGACGCTCAAGAAGCCATCAACACTCGTCGCAACCCATATTCTTCTTATCGAGTGGCTTTCTAAGGGCACTTGATGAGTCACAATTAAACCGTAGGCCTATTGGGCTTGGGGTTAGATTACTTAAAAACTAAGTCACCACCTAAACCTATTCCGCTAGGGTTTAAGGAAATAGGTAACACCACCTCTATATAAAGATGTGGCGCCTCTCCCATAATACACATCTTCTACCTATCTTCTACACCTTTTACACACGATATACACACCTCTCTCTCTACACTCTCTATTCTCTTATTAACTTAAGTATCGGAGAGTCTACCCTTGAGAGACACCTGAGACTCTGTCTTGTAGGTTTTAGGCTATCCGCCACCGCCTAGATCATCGTTGCTGCCCGTCCTAAGACACCATACAAATCAATGCTTCGTCAGTAATAGAAATACAAAAGCCAGAGCTCTTTATGTACAACTTCTATAGAGAAACCTTAACTGCAAGGTTTTCCCCCTCAAGCCAATCACTAAGAAAGAAATGAAGTACAACAATCCAGTTGTGTCGAGGGTGAAAAGCGTATCGCCTTTGATTCCAGGAGATGTTCCCGCAGACGGAGTACATTCCGTGATACCCAAGAGATCAACCGGAAAAACCACACTCACAAATGGTTTATAATTGAATTCTGCAAAGCCAAAAATCCTTCATTGGAATCATCGTTATCATATACATAATTTAACAATGATGAATAAAATGATTGGAACAGTTTATTTTACCAAGTATATCTCCAACATGGAAGGTCTTCCCAACCGTAAATGTGGTTAGATTTAGGACAACATTCCAAGGCACTTGATATGTTACAGCCTAGCACAGTGCTGAAGCAAGCCTCAAGATCAGAAATAAGGTAAGAAGAATTTTGGTGCTGGAAAAGTATGCTGCCATTTTCGTTTGATTCCATTGCTTCTTGATCTCTCTCTCTCTCCTAAAAATGGAACAATGAAAGTTAATAATACGTCACTTAGGGCACTTTCAAATGGCAGACTGATTATCTTTTTAGTTTAACACATAAGATTTAAGGTCATCGTGTTATCCCAAAAAAATGAATACTCAACTCATTTATTAAAAGTGAGGAGCGCATGATCAGTTAGTTCCTAGGGTTGGGGAGCTACTCAGGAGGAAATGGTAAGTTGAATAAAAACATTTGTTTTCGGAGGTAAATTTAGCGGCTTATAGTCATGAGTTTATTGGCGGCGCAAGGAACTGGAAGTTTGTATAGATTTATGGTTCTTTTACAAGAGCTAATTTCTTAATTAGAACATAATATTACAAGGTTGCATATTTTTATAATGTGTTGCTTTGATTCTATGCTATTGAATCAGCTTTAGTAAAAAGATGAATATATATACATACATCGGATAATATAATATCAGTTTAAAATTGATGGCGGTTAAAATTAACAAAGCTTACCTCCTGCCAACTAAAATTTGTTGCCTAATTTTATGTTTCCATGAGATAAAGGGAAAATAAGAAACTTAACTTATTGAAAATCTTATTTACCATGTTCAAAGAAACGAGAAGGGAAGAAAAAAGAAAGGGGACGGCAAGTGAGACAGTAGAGGAAAGATTAAGGTAACAAATCTCCCGCGAATATAAAGACATCTATTCATAGTATCATATTAAGAGAGAAACCAGAGAAAAGTTTTAAAAAGAGTTTTTATGTTGCCATGTAGGATAAAATCTTACGTGGCATTTTTATAGAAATCTTACAAAAAAAAGTTTATGCAATTACATTACAAGTCCTTGGAAATTTATGTTAATAAATTTTATCACACCTAATTTTTTTTATAGTAATGGCTGGTTAGTTGAATAGGTATTCTTTTGGAAAATAATCATAAACAATTAAAATTAATCAATATCAATCAATCAACATTAATACGTAATTAATATTTTAACAACCCACGTGGGATGATTTGCCATGATTTCCGAAATTAGTCATTTGCCATAAAAAAAACATTTCCCTAAATAAGAATAGGAAATAATTAGCATTCATTAATTGATTAATTTGTATTATGCGGAGATCATGTAGTATTAGTTGTCACGATAATTCTCTTCTTTAGGTTTATATAAAAAGTATATTCGATTAATTATTATAATGAGGAGATCATGTATTCTTTGTAAACATTCAGCCTAACTCCCGGATAAGGTTGAATTCATTTATTTAAAGTAAATTTCTCTTTATAAGAACTCTCTCCATAATAGTGGTTAATCAAAATTCTGCAATTTATGAAATCTAGAGGGAAAAAAGTTGTGATAATACTGATTAAAAAAAGTCTAAAATCATTGTCATGGTAGCAAATCAATCACCAATAAATTAAGGATCAATTCAAGTTAACAAGAAATATGGATTGTTATCATTTTATAAAACTAATCACTCCCTAATTGAAAGTGATTGTCTCCTTTTTTTTTTTGCGTCTACCTTCTCCGATAAATAGGACGCTTAAAGGTTATTTCCTACGATATTTACTTCATTGTCATTATCATACTTAATCGTATGCTGCTTTTTATGTAGATTGGCTTTTATGTTGTTGATTACAGGGATAAAGGTCGAAGCCTCAGCCCACAAGAAACTCCTACGAAGGTTTTGAACTTTCGGAAGAAGGCACGATAAAAATCATTATTGTCGTCAGTTTTTATCGAGGTTAGTAAATTCGAAATTGTTTTTTTCTTCTACCTATTATATTTGAATCATGATTTGTTGCTTCTGAATAATCCTGATATGTGTGCACTAACATCTCGCTTAAGAAATCCAAATATTTCGACAAGTCTTATGGAAAATTATACTCTGTTAAATTGTTGAATTGATCTTTGATCTTAAATTAATACAAAACAAATGGTGGGTGGTGTTATTTTGCATGAATGAATTCCTTTTTTGTCTGTTTGTTTTGACAGATTATTTAGAGCAAGAAATGCTAAGTTTACAATGATGCTTCAGAAGGTATCAATCTTTATCTTTCAAAATTATCATGTCTTACAATCATTTTAAGACCTTTACATTTGATGCTTGGTACATGTACACAATCTTGGCCAACTGGTGGAGTTGATGCAAAAGAAATATATTCGGGATAAACAGGTGGATGTATTCTCGATGCTTTCAAATAATGTGTATATGTCAAATAAGGTAATTTCAAACTTGACTGCATTCTGTTTGAATACTCATCAAGCATCTTTCAATTTCCATTGAAGGTTAACACTGGAATTGTTGTTCCTGCGTAACTGGAGTTCGAACCAATGCCAGCTCCATTGATTGGGATCAACGATGATGAGGATGACCATTTTTATTTTATTAAATGCTTTTTATATTCTTTTTGTTTCTTATTTTTTCTTTAAGAAAAAACATATTAATGACCTATGGCCAAAGACACATGAATATCACCCAAAAAATCTAGCAATCATATTCAGCCCTCAATTATGTAAGTTAATTCGCGTTAATTAATCCAATATTAAATTCAAAAATAAATCACAAATTAATCATTTTAAAAAATTCCCATTCAATAAAATATTAAAAAAAAGACATAAAATAATCAAGCCAGGCAGTCCTACAAGATAATGAGGCCGTATCCAGTGCACCCGGGTGTACCGTATACTCCCCCCACCAAACACACGCGCACCACGCGCTTAACTGTTTTTACCTTTACATTAAATGTACACATAAAGTAATTTTCATCATTTTTATCCTCACGCATAAACACACACAAACACACACAAACACACAGTCGACAGAAACTCTCCAATTTAGGGCAAACCCACACACACACACAGATGACGGCGAGAAACCCTACATCCGGACATCTCAAGCTCTCCTTCATCTTTACATACTTGAATGGTAAGTATATTGCTCCGGGATCCTCTTTTTTTTGATTATCCAGCAATATCTTGTGTGTTTCCACTAGATCTGAACCATTTATCCATGGTTTCCTGCGTATGCTATGTGATCGTTGTCCATGCCATAATCTCTGTTTATCCATCTATATCATACTGACATTTGTTATCCACCTATTTCATTCTGGTTATCCATAAGTTGTAGGGTGGTTATCCAGAAGTTGTAAAGTGGTTATCCACAAGTTTTAAACTTGTTATCTATGCTTTTTTTACATTTTATTCTATGTGGCATGGACAAACAGAACTGGTTATCCATGTTTTTGTGTTTTTTTTTTTTTTGTTACTGGTTTAGGGTTTAGGGTTTAGGGTTTAGGGGTGCTTGTCCAAACTTTGGTTTTTGGTTATCCATCCAACAAGTATTTGTTATCCGCATGGTATAAACTGGTTATCCATTGTTTTTTTTACGTCCATACATTCTTTGCTGGTTATCCAACCATTTCATATTGGTTATCCACAAGTGGTAAACTGGTTATCCTATGTTTTTTAACATTTGATTTTATGTGTTGCTTGGTTATCCACCCATTTTAACTTGGTTATCCGAAGTGAGTAAACTGGTTATCCATTGTTTTTTTTTTAGATGTGCTTTGATCATACTGGTTATCCACCCATATCCTGCTATTTTGTCCACTAACTTCTTACTGATTGTGCAATGCCAACAGTGCATTGCACGACCTCAATTGCAACGCAGACAGATCACCGGATCCTGAACCAGATAAAATAATGGAGCTCCCTGAAGGAACACTGACCCTATATAAAAAACAAAAACCAACCCAAGAAGAACAGTCCCCTGTACAAACTCCAAGCAACCAAAACTTGTGGAGAAAACCAAAGAGGAAGAAGAGCACACCGGCAGGAAATCCAAAGCAACTTGTGGTTGCTGATGACAACGATGATAAAAAGCCCAAAAAGAAAAGAATGAAACCTGAGAACAACAAACTGATAATTGGTCAAGATCCATGGCCAATCAGTTCTGAAGATTCTGTCAAGAAATTTGAGACAAGGATGACACCGAACCATCTCTTCCAACTCATCACTGAAATCAATAAACCAACAGATCTTACAAAAGAGCCAGATGCGGTAGATTATCGCCAACTACAAAGGCAGGCTATCAGAGATATGGGATTTGGCGCATTGCTGGATCTCAAAATCAAAAATATTCCAACAGCCTTGTGTAATTTTCTGGCAAGCAATTTCCAGACTGGTGCCAGACAAGTCCCATTGAATGGGAACAATGTACTGGATACCAATCAGGAAGATGTTGTTGCTGTACTTGATCTTCCTTGTGGACCCATACCAGTGCAAGAATTCAAACAGAATGATCCCGCTATAACGGACCATGCTGAGATGGTGGATGCGTTCAAGAAAAGAATGGGATACAGTAATAAATTCCTGCCAACGAGATCCACCGCGGCACAATTAATTGCTAGTCGAAAAGATTTTGGTGATGATTTCAAACGAGATTTCCTCGACTTTGTTGTGAGCACGTTCCTACATGGAAACACCACTTCCAGGATCACAATGAACATTCTGAAGTCCCTTGTGAACATCAATGAAGTGACACAATACAATTGGTGTCAATATGTGATTGATGCACTTGTGAAAGGATGCAAAAGTCACCACGATGGGAAACCATTCACCGGACCAATCACTTTTTTCCTGGTACTTAACATATCCATGCAAACTTTACTACTTATCCATATTGCTTGCAATGTTTATCCAATTTGCTTGTACTTGTCTGATGTGATTGTACTTGTCATCCAACTAATTTGTACTCCTTGTCCAGCCCTCTTTTTCCCCTTTAAATGGTTATCCATTGTGTTCCTGCCGGTTATCCAGTCTATTTGAACTCATTATCCACTTCATTTGAACTGGTTATCCACTTCATTTGAACTGGTTATCCAATCTGTCTAAATTCTGATGGACAGATTATCCAACTAATTAGTATTATTTATCCAACCTGGTTTTTGTTTTTATTATTTTTTTAAAAAATAATAAACTAAGTCTGTTATCCAACTCGTTTGTATTGGTTATCCAATCATTGGTTTGTACTGGATTATCCAATGCGCTAACGCTGGTTATCTAATGGATTTACATGGTTATCCAAATTGTTTGAACTAGTTATCCACTTTGTTCATACTGGTTATCCAACTCGTGCATACTGGTTTTCCAACTTACTTGATATCCAACTTATTCTGCCCATCAAAATTTAGTCATTTCTAAACTCAAAAAAAAATATTCGAAATGGATCTTGTTGGATAGATCTCGACGAGTACTAATTAGTTGGTTATCCAATTTATCAATTTGTACTGCTTGTCCAACCCTCTTTTTCCCCTTTAAATGGTTATCCATTGTGTTCCTGCTGGTTATCCTGCCTATTTGAACTCATTATCCACTTCATTTGAACTGGTTATCCACTTCATTTGAGCTGGTTATCCAATCTGTCTAAATTCTGATGGACACCAACTTTTTTTTTTTTTTGTTAGTTGTGCTACCTTGACAGGTGTGAGTATGAGAGAGCACATCCGAGGTCGTTCCCTGTGATCAAATCTTGGGACCAAAGGATGCTGGACGACAGAATAAGGCTTCAGGGAAGCAATTTCACAGATGTCCAGACACTTGAACGTCTCAAGAAACCGTCCTCAGCAACATCTCGAGATGAGCAACCAGAGGCTGAATCACAAAAGGAGGATACACAGGGAATCCACAACACACAGCAAGTCTATGTACTGTTCTACCTTTTTTTTTCAGATCAAACATACGTATCCAACCTAGCATCTCCACATTCCACTAACTACATTCAATTTTGCAGGACCTTGCCGCTCTTTACGAAAAATTCTACCAATTGATTATCACGATGAGCAAAACTGTTTTAGACATTCGTGAAAAGGAAATGGAGTTAAGAATCGAACCAGATGAACAAGCAAAGCAAACAATCAAGATCCTATCAGATGCAATGGTGTCGATGAGTAGAAAGATGCCTCCGCCTTCAGGTACAACGCAACAGGAACAAGAGCAGCAGCAACACCAGCAAGACCTCCAAGATGCACAGATTTGTGAATTGTGCGAGATGGCATGGAAGTCCGCTGAAAGCAGATTTGCAACAATCATAGAACAGCTGCAACGACAAGTAGCTGACCAACAAGAACAACAGCAACACCAACAAACTAATGACAACACTGTAGAAGCTCCAATTAATCTCGCAAAATTTCAAGACATTGAAACTGACAAAGCACAGGGACTGGAGCAATTGAGCCAGACAAATGATGAGGCTTCTATTGCTGTGGGGAAAACTGTGCCTACTTCAAAAGAAGTGGTGGTTGATGAACCACAAACTCAACTACAAGGGGCACAGGGACTGGATCAATTGAGCCAGACAAATGATGAGAATTCTCTTCCAGTGGGGAAATCCGTGCCTACTTCAAAAGAAGTGCGGGTTGATGAAAAACAAACTCAACCAAGAGGTAATGAAACAAATACTTGTCTGATGTGATTGTACTTGTCATCCAACTAATTTGTACTGCTTATCCAACCCCTTTTTATCCCTTTAAATGGTTATCCATTGTGTTCTGCTACTTATCCAGCCTATTTGAATTCATTATCCACTTCATTTGAGCTGGTTATCCAATCTGTCTAATTTGTACTGCCTGTAAAACCCTCCTTTTCCCCTTTAGATGGTTATCCATTGTGTTCCTCTTGATTATCCATCCTATTTGAACTGATTATCCACTTCCTTCGTACTGATTATCCAACATTCCAACTTTGTACTGCAGAACATGCAACGAATGTCTCCACGACAGAAAAGAAGAGATCCCATCAAGATTCCACCGGGCAGGATTCGGCTGTGACATCCACCTATACCAAAAGGTCGAGAAGCACTGGTACCAGGAAAAGGAAAGCATTGAAAGACGTAAGTATCCCAAGCTTTAACCTGGGTATCTTCTCCAGTCAGGAAGACAGTTACGAGACAACCCAGGAGAAGAACACTCAAGAAGATGTCACAGTAACGGTTGATCTGGATAAAGATGTGAATGAGACTATAGAAGCAGAAGAATATCCAGTACCATCTGCTCTGGACGAAACAAAGAATCCCATTCCTTCCATCGATGAAATTATAACAAGGGCCAGTGCACCAGCTTCAGAGACGTCGAGTGATACAGAAAAACTAGAGATCATTGCAGCTGTTGCAGAACAAGTTGAGAAAAACCCAGAGGTGGTTGAACAAAAGTCCCTTTAAGCATAATTCACCCGATTGGAATGCTGCTTCTACCACGGGTCGTTTACTCATGCTGGACAAAAAAGAGTGTACCACGCCACCGCCTGCAATCTCAAAGAAAGCTGAAGTACTTGATGAAGGCTTAACAAAGACAGTGGAAAAGTAAGTTTGATCCACTGTGAATGCTCACAACAAAATAGAAACATGAATTTAGATACTAACTCTCTTTTGTTTTGTCCTAGGATCCTCAAACAAAAACCTAGGAGGAGAAATCCACCAAGAATCCACCGGTTGCCCGAACGGTTCAGGTCGCCGTTCATGCTGCAGAAGAAAAACAAGAAAAAATTCATACAGTTGACAGAGGAGAACAAGAAAATGACTGAAGAAGAAGCCCTGTTGATAGACTTCGCTCTCTTGCAGAGACAAGAAGAAATTGTTAAATCAGCGTAAAAGCCACCATCCTTACCCGTCCGATAAAAAACTTACCAGTTTTCCAACTATTTGTCTATTTGACTACTTTTTCTATGCAGGAATTTCTTGTTTGAATTTGGAAAAATTGTTTGGGCAGACAGGACAGCATTCTAATCCACGAGGGAAGGCACATGGATAGAAAACTGCATCATAGATGCTTAGGCTGTCATCCTAAACAAAGAAGAAACTAAAAACGACTCCCCAAGTCGGATATTCTTTGGTGTTTCCGCATTTGTAAGTCAACTAAACCGTTATTCTTTATCCCGCCCTGGTAAAATACTTGTCACGTGTCTGCAAGTTGTTTATCCAAAGGCTTTCCACTAGTTATCCAGCCATAACGGCTGGTTATCCACATTCTGTAAACAAGTTATCCAGCCATAATTGCTGGTTATTCACATTCTGTAAACTAGTTATCCAGCAATAATTGCTGGTTATCCACATCCTGTAAACTAGTTATCCAGCCATTGTACTGATCATTATATCATTTTCCAACCATCTTAAACAATAACGCAGGATACAATCAGTCGCTACTATCAACAGGATAGTAACAAAGAGGAAATCGAGTTCACGTTCTATGAGAGGTTGGCTCTTGAACTAGAAGAACAAGGACTCAGTGTAGGATCCCTAATAGTGGCAAAAGCCGTAAGCAACATCTTTCACCTCCTTCACTCTTTCTATAACTGGCTGTTAAAAATTTTTTTTATGATTTCCCCTTTCAATGTGAAAAATCAGATCTACTTCCCAGTGCACTACAGAGAACATTACTTCTTGTATGTGTTGCTGGTTCAAGAAAAGAAAGTCCTCGCATTCAACAATCTTCATGCAAAAGATCTGGACTACTACAAGCCAACAAAAGATCTACTTGTGAGTGAAAAAAAGATACAAAATGATTGTCATACTTTAAGAATTATCCATTGCATTTTGCTGATCCTTGAATTTTATGGCATCGCAGTTTCGGTTCTTTAAAATGTACATTCAATGTGTGATTCCAAACATAGAACTGGTCAATGCTCAGTTAACCTTCACAGAGGTTACGCTACCATCTCACAACGACAAAAAGCCGAATGCGGAAGATTGTGGAATATTCACAATGCACCACATGGAGAAGTATGATGGTGGTGACTACGAGGATGGTACTACTTTGGATTTCCACACAGGAAACATCAAAGAGTACCGGTGGAGATACATGTTAAAAATCCTTATACACCCATCCAACAAAAATAAGGACAAAATCCTCGAAGCAATGCACCAGTTCTACACAAATACTGCTGAAGAAGAACCAAAAGAAATTCCAGATCATGTTGATTTGAGCAGCAAATCTTACTACAATGACAAAAAAATTCAGGGACGGGTTAAATGAACTGTCATTATCTTGTCTTGTATAATTGATTGACTGTTGTAGTCCAGATCATTTTGTAATGGTTATCCAGGATCTTTCTACTGATTATACAATGCTTTGAATTCATCATCCAGGACTTTTGTACTGGTTATCCAGCCAATGTGCAGCAATATCCAACCGTTTGTAGTGGTTATCAAAGATCATTGTACCAGTTATCCACCTTGATAAACCTGATTATCCGAATGTTTTATAGTGATTATCCAGTCAAAAAAAATGCAAGTACAGTCTTTAATCTGATTATACATGAGATTATAATTCTTATCCAAAAAATCAATACTGCTTATCCATATGTAACAAAAGTTTTATACTGATCATCCAGTCAAAAAAAATGCAAGTACATTCTTTAACCTAATTATCCAAGAGATTATACTTGTTATCCAAAACCTCAATATTGCAATCCAAACGGCATATTCATTGGGGGACTTCGCCCCCCCATATTCATTGGGGGGCATTGCCCCCATGATAAACTAAACGACTCCCGCGGCTACCGGAATCGCAGGTCACCAACCTGCCCCGGCTGCGCTGCCCCGCTGAACACGCCAATGTAGCTAAGGTAATCCTTTTTTCGTGTGTGTGTAAAGAGAGTGTGTTATTGCGTTAAGAGGGAACCCAAATTAATTGTATAAATCTCCCCGTGATAAACTAAACGACCCGGCTGCGCCGGTCCCGCGGCTGCGCCGCCCACATGCAGAAGAAGACAAATTTCATAAACAGCGTTTAAAAAAATGAATGAGGTGAAGTTTGCCAAATGATGGAGAAGAAAAAATCGATGAGGGCCAGGCCGTCTGACTTAACTAGCGGGCAAAACCCAACCCGGGAACGCAACCCGCTTCAGAATCCCGCCCAAATTCTGGAAAAGCTGCCCCATTAGTGTGCACATTTTCCAAACGGCGGCCGGGCAATCATAATAATTATCCCTTAAAATCCTTCGCCCGAAAACGTCATTCAATCATAATTGAGTGTGTTGGATAATGTACCATTCCGTCAACCATTCACCAGCTCTCGCCCTTTTTATGGGTATAAAATTCACTTTGTTTTTATTCTATGATCATTATCCAATGCTCTGAATTAATTATCCAGAACTTTTGTATTAGTTATCCACAAATTTTGCATTGGTTATCCAGCCAGTTATGTAACTCATTTAAGGATAATTAACACTGGTTATACATTATGTCCATACTGGTTATCCATAGTGTGGAACATGTTACTGTGTATAACTGAAAACCAGACGTTCTGTAATTAAAATAGAATTTAAAAGATTGAGGCAGTATAAATAAAAAAAAGAAACCTAAAAATGCTCGTGTTCGTGCACAGTACATCCACCATGATCTAATGGGTAGTTACAGAGCCACACGTTTTTACATAACTGTCATTAAATGAGTTTCTTGATCTCCACCTGGGGCTAAAACTCCTTCATCTGCACATACACCGGATCGCCTGATTTGAGCATCCAAAACATCCAACAGCCAGAAAATAATGAAAAACGAAAAAATTTCCTCAAATTCCAGCACCAAACAAATGTCCCCCATCTATCATGAATATATCCATCACGATATGCTTGATAAAATGTTCATTAATCTGTCATTGGAAAAGATTGGACAGTTCCGTCGTGTCAGCAAAGCTTGGGAGGAAATGACGAAAAGACAGGAATTTGTTCTTAAAAAACGTGAGATGGGCTACCCTGAAAGTGAAAACAACATCCTTGTTTTCACTCAAACAAGCCAAGAAGATCACCTGTTGCAAGACAAACTAATCGCCACCAACATAAAAGTGCAAATGGATAACCCATGCAATCACATACGATTTCAAGAAGAGATGTCGATGGGTGACGACGGCATCCATAAAATCATGCCTATCACCACAGATTTGATCTGTCTGCAAACCAGGTCTCAAATCAAATTCTTGAACCCAAAGACAACACAACTTGCAACAGTTGAATGGCCATATGATGTCCCTCTCAGCAATTGTGAAACAGCATTTGGGTACGTATCATCCTCAAAAACTTACGTTTTCATGGCCCTAATTGCCGATGGGAAAACCATGCAAGGCTGCATTTTTTCTTTTCAAAGTTGTTCAAGAATTCATAGAGGGGAATGGAAAACACTTTGCAATGTATGTCCTCGCCTTGTATCTGATGGAATCTGGTTTGATAGATTCGTGTACTGGCGTGTAGACAAACTATCCTCTGAAATAGCAACACCTCAAGAGTTGTTGGTTGTGTTTGACTACCACACTCAACAATTCCAACCCATAAACTGCCCTCCATCTCCAACCTTCTTTAACCCCACTTATCCTTCCCATATGAATCTCCAAGTGAAAATATTGGACTTCCAGGAGACTATGTGTGTAATAGATGAGTACGAGATTACTCAGAATCATCACTCTGAGATGTGGGCATGGGATCCAGATACTTCCACATGGGATTGCATATTTGAGACCCATGAATTCCCAAATGTGAACACACACGTTCCACAGGGATTACATTTCCGTCATGATTGGCTTTATCCAGTGTTCTTAAGCCACAAATCATCTCCAGCAGGACAGTTCATTGTAAAAGGATACGATAATCGTCATTTGTTGTTGTATAGTGTTCCTACCAGGAAAATCACACACTCAAGTATATCGCCGGATCTAGAAACCAGTTTCATCATTAGAGCATGTTACTTCTGGGAAACATTAACACACTTTTAGGACTTTGTACTGGTTATCTAATGATATTACTGGTTATCCCAGGACTTTGTACTAATTATCCAGATTATCTATGCTGGTTATCCAATGTATTTTGGTTCTCCAAATATTTCTGTAAATTGCAAGAAAAAATAAAAATTGAGTGTTCCAATTTCTTGGTCTTTCTACTTCTTTATTAAACTGCTTATCCTATGATGTTATCTTGCTTATCCAGGACTTTTGTACTGGTTATCCAGCCAATGTGCAGCAATATCCAACCGTTTGTAATGGTTATCCATGATCATTGTACCAGTTATCCATCTTGTTAAACCTGATTATCCGAATGTTTTATTGTGATTATCCAGTAAAAAAAAATGCAACTACAGTCTTTAACCTGATTATCCATGAGATTATACTTGTTATCTGTCTTCAACGTGTTCATGTGTTTTTCTGTAATATTTATATGCATTTAAAGTTGCATATCCGGTACAGGTGAGTTAGATATCCAGTAAAAACGAAATGGATATCCACTACAAACAAAATGGATATCCAGTACAGACAACTTGGATAACCAGTCCAAACTGGTTGGATAATCACCATGAACACAACGGATAACCAATTTAAAATAACCACTAGGATAACCAGTACAAACTAAATGGATAACCAGTTAAAACTGGTTGTATAATACTGCAATTTAAAATAAATAATACTTTTTAAATAAAAATCTTTACGGCATCAATATTGTTCATTTCGACATCAAGTTAAAATACTAATAAAATATCTTGTTGAAGAAACGCTGCGCTCCAGCCTCCCTGGCAGCTTCCCTTCGGTTAGGAAATGAGAAACCACCAAAGTTTTCATTCATGAATGTCATGTTTTGATGAGAAGGATTCACAGCAGCGGAAGTGCTTTCGCCTTGAAACTCCTGGCTACCTCCCTTGGGAATTGGAAATGAGAATCCACCGGAATTTTGGTTGATGAACGGCATGCTTTGATCAGAAGCATTCATAGAAGTGGAAGCCCCTGCCCATGAAAAATGCTGGGCAGCTATGCTTGGATTAGCAAATGAGAGTCCACAGGAATTTACGGTCAAAGATGGCACGCTTTGATGAGAAGCATTCACAGCAGCAAAACTTCCTGAGCCTGTAAAATGTTGAGCAGCTCCCTTTGGATAAGGAAATCGCATGCTTTGATAATGCAGGTCTGATGCAACTGAAGCTCTTGTTCGGTCTGCAGCAATTTTTGCATTTGTTTTCCTGCCTCTGACTTTGTTACATGCCTTCTCAAGAATGCTTTTAGGACGTTCGTTCCTGGGACCAAACTTCTTCCTCTTTACAGCCGGATTCTTTATAACACCATCATTGTCTACAGACTCATCATTATTATTTGAACCAATGAAACTGCCGAGTTCTTCTTTAAGCCTGTCAACAGCCTCATCACAACATTTCTTTGCATCTTTGTTATATTCACTTGCATACACCAAAACTGAAAATCGTCTCATAATTAGTGCACAGCAATGGGCCAGCAGCTTTTCCATCTCCCTCATTAGCTATGCTTGACCTGGCACCATAACCTTTTGTCCATCTCATACATATATAATCTTTAGGAAACTCATCAACAGAGGTTACGTGACAGATCCGAAGAATGTGGCAACAAAGCATGCCCACCTCAGAGTAGTACTTGCATGTGCATGAGAATCTCTGTAACCTAGTGTCATGTATAACCACGTGCTTAAAGTGCTCTATCCCAAACCGCCAAACATGGTACGTCACAGTATTGCCATCATTTGAGACCTCTACCTGCTCCTGCCTGCACAACATCCCATCTTTATGCAACTGCTGAACCTCCCGGAATGCTTCAACTGTGTACACTCTGCGAATGCTCTCCAGGAAGGGTCACCGGGAAGATATGAATCGATGTTTCCCTGGCTACAACGTAGATCTTCACCCCTCACAGCACCCGCTAACAGTGTACAACATCAGAGAAAATTCCATGGAAATCACAAAGCGATGATGTGGCCTTCATCTTACGACAAATTGCATTATTTGTTGACTCACTCCTCTGTGAAGACAAGGTACCACCAGAAAAAAAATCTTTGCTAAATGCAGGGCACCACATATGCCTCACATCATAAACACCACTGAGCCATTTGTCATCATGACAATCATACTCATCCAATAATCTGTGCACAACAAAATAAAACACATGCATAAAAAGAAAAATAGTTAGATTATCCATATAGTTATCCAGCCAAAAAAGCCTTTCTACTAGTTATCCAGCCATAACGGGTGGTT